TTTGCAATTCCCTGGTAACAAATGATGATGAGTATCTCTTATGTTCTTTTGCCACCTGTGGATCTGTTTTGGTGATGTGTATGCTCAAAAGGAGATCTGGTGGTGTAAAGCCTAAAGCACCTGACTGCTAACCAGAAGGCTGGGAGTTCAAACTCACCAGCCACTCTTCAGAAGGAAGATTGGGCAATCTACTTCTGTAGAGATACTGTCTAAGGAGGGGTCACTGTGAGTCACAATCAACTCGATGCAGTGTTTGTTGTTGTTGTTTTGGTGTGTTCAGATATTTCTGCTCATTGTTTAACTGAGGAGTAAGTTTTCCTATTGTATATTTTTAAGAATTGAAAGTATAATTTGTATATTACTTCTTTATGAGATATAATTTTTGAAAATATTTTCTCCCAGTCTGTGTTATGTCTTTTTATTCTCTTAACAGGTTCTTTTAAATAAAATATTTATTTTTTTAAATCTAAAAAAAAAAAAAAAAGTTAATTTCTATACTGCAACGTTCTTGCAGAAAAAAACCAGTAAGATAAGAGTCTTATTCTGGGTAAAAGCTAATCAGGCTGCAGATGCTTGAAAAAAAATATCCTTGCTCACTCTTTTATTCATTTTTCAAAATTTATCAAAAAGCAAAGATTTTATATTCTTAAATGCAAAGTCTTTTGTCGTTCCTTTGGTAGCCTTTCTACAACTATCGTAATGAATTTCTCTTACCATGCTTACTTATTAAGGAGCCCTGGTGGCATAATGCTTATGGCATTTGACTGCTAACCAGAAGGCTGGTGGTTAAAATTCACCAGCCACTCTGCACAAAGAAGATGAGGCATTCTACTTCTGTAAAGATTTACCACCTTAGAAACCCATTGAGGGTCACTGAGTTGGAATCAACTCGATGGCAGTGAGTTTGGTTTTTTTTTTTTGGTGTTTAGTTATTAGGTACAAAGAATCAAAATAAGCCTAATTCCAAGGATAAATTGAGTAACTCTACTCTTCAATGTCATATGCTGGGTGAAAAGTAAATTTCTAATTTAAGTCAGTTTTTAAGAGTCAAGCAAAAAAATCAGTTTCATATTTTCTCTATGTGTTTATTTGGGATCTAAGAATGCTTTTATGTTATAGCAGCAAGTACCTCCCTCTTATTTTATGACAGTAACCCCAAGTTTTGGCATTTGTTGTGTGATCTTAAAGCATTGATTAAAGTCCCATTCACATATACTGTGTTTCTGAACAGAGTTGCTGGTAGTGCAAATGGTTAACGTATTAGGCTGCTAACTGAAACGTTGGCAGTTTGAATCCACCCAGAGATGGCTCTGAAGAAAGGCCTGGTGATTTACTTCTGAAATACCAGCCATTGAAAACCCTATGGATCACAGATTTACTCTGACAAATGTGGGTTCACCATGAGTTATAGTCGACTAGAGATCAACTAGTCTTACTTCTGGTGTTTCTGAGCATTTAAGTACACATTAGTATTTCTTTCAGCAAGCTTATTCAGTACTCAACTCTTATCTTTCTCTTTGAAAACATTCTAGATTTTTTCCTCAAATATTTGTGTAGTGATGAACCATTAGAACTGGTTCTCTTCTGTTCTTTCATTATCAATGACTTTCTCAGGTGGTTTCAGCCACTCAAAACCCAGGCCTTTCTTCCACTCCACTCTGGTTTAGATCAGTGATAGTCCTTCAAGGGAAGATTTTCAAGCAAATATTTCTATTGGGAATTCTCCACATAGGCATACTATTTACTAATCTTCTAATTTGGTCTTTAACTTTGTTATTTCAGATAACATGAATGGAAATTTCAGTATCTCCAGCTGATAAATGTGTGGCTAATTTAAAAAAAAAGATAGCTTTTTTTTTTCCTTAACCTATATATTTACTACAATAAAAAGATTTTAAAAAGGAAGAAAAGAAGACATGAGAAAACAAAACAAGATTTGCTCTAATGATTTAAAAAATTAACTTCTTAATAGATTGACCAAAAATTTCAAAAAATAAAAGCAGTCTTTTCCTTGCTTTATGGTTTCCAAAAGCAATTTTGGCATCCATTCTCAAAGTGTGGTCCCTGGACCAGCTGCAGAAGGCTTACATGTGAGGTGTCAGACATGCAAATTCTCAGGGCTTCCAGAGACCAGTTGGGTCAGAAGCTCAGGTGATGAGTTTTAACTAGCCCTCCAAACCTGATACTTCCTTGAGTTTGAGAAGCATGGCTCTGATCACATGGCCAAGCTTGTATAAATACTCTGGGTCCCTTCTGATGTTTATAGGTATTTAGCCATGAGTTCTCAGACTCACAATGAAAGTTTGTTATTTATCTTCCCTTAATATCCCACCAAAGGAAATACAAATACAAATTTACAAATAATCTTTCTTCTTGAGAATTTAACTTCCTTTATTCTTTCACTGATAATACCTGTGTTGAGTCCTTAATCCTTAAAATAAAAATGCAACTTTGTTGCGTGCATCATTAAATATTGTGTCACTTTAGAACAATATATAACGTTTGTATTATAAGAATAAAGGAATATGACGTATTCTTTTAAAGAATATTGCATGAAATTTGCACGTGCTAGTTTCCTAACAGTTTTATTTTTGCTTCATATTCCTTGTATTTCAACTTTTCTTTTAATAAAAAATATCCTGTATCATTTTCTTTTTCTTTGGTAGAGTAGTGGACCATAACTTTTTTATTTAAAAAAAAATATTCTGGTTCAAAATATATTTTTTTATATTGATTAACAAATGGTCTAAATGACTTTTTTCTGGAAAAATATTGAACTTATGAATTTTATATGAAATTGATAATTTATTTGGTTGTAAAGATTTAGTAAATTTCTCAAAAAGCTTACCAAAAACAGTCTCTGAAATCAGTGATATGAAAGGAAAAAGTACTTTTATAAATATTTTAGCCTCTATGTATAGATACTTTGTAGGAGTTCTGGTAGTGTAGTGCTTGAGGTCTTTGACTGCTAACCAGAAGGCTGGCGGTTCAAACCCACCAGCCACTCCTTGGAAGAAAGGTTGGGCAATCTACTTCCATAGTTATACCACCTCAGAAACCCAAGGAGGGTTCGCTATGAGTCAGATACAACCAGAGACTAGTATGCTCTATATTAGAGGGACCATTCCCTTTAGAAGGATATCATGCTTGGTAAATGGAGGGTCAACAAAAAAAAGGGAAGGCCCTCAATGAGATGGATTGACACAGTGGTTGCAATGATGGGCTCAAGTATTGCAAGGATTGTGAGGTCGTCACAGGACCTGGAAGTGTTTAGTTCCATTGTACATATGGTCACTATGAGTTGGAGCTGACTCAACGGCACCTAATAACGTATTCTATGCTGTGACTATTTTTTCTTCACCCCATGACAAGTATATTTTAATTAAATTGGACATGTGAAAGGTATTTAACTTTTGATGTTTTAGAATAAACATTAAACTGAGATCTAGTGGCATAGTGCCTAAGGCATTTGACTGCTAACCACAAGGCTGGTGATTCAAACCTACTAGCCACTCCTTGGAAGGAAGGTTGGGCAAACTACTTCTGTAGTGATACCACCTGGGAAATCCGAGGAGGGTACTTTATTCTCCTTAAACCACTTACATTTGTAGTTGAAAATGTTATCTAATGCTTTATACAAACCAGAACAACTATGATAGCTTCCGGGCAGAAAAATTTATTATTATTTTTTTTTAAATGTTGGGAAAACACATTGTCTCCACTACTGGAAAAACTTTAAATCTTCGATTCACATATCTAAAAACTCATTCCTTACTTTTCAGCCCCTCACAGGATAAAACATATAAAATAATAGAAGCAAAAAAAAAAAAAAAAAAAGGATGAGTTAATACTATATTTTGCCTAACACTTTTCTAAGCGATATGTCTTTTCCTGGAAAACACTGTTAATGGGCAAATTTATTCCAGCGTTATTTTCGTTTTGTTGTTGTAATTGTTACGTGCCGTCCAGTTGGACCAGACTCATAGCGACCCCTCCTTGGGTTTCCGAGGCAGTATCACTATGGAAGTGGATTGCCCAACTTTCCTTCCGAGGAGTGGCTGGTGGGTTTGAACCGCCAGCCTTCTGGTTAGCAGTCAAGTGCCTTAGGTACTATGCTACCAGATCACCTTATTTTCATGTAGAAATATATATTTGCTTTCATTTTATAAAAGTCTGTTCATCAGACAATGTGCATTTAATGGCCTAAAATGATGTAAAAACTCAGGCATAATCACAATTTTGGAAAATAAGTGTAAAAAAGTCACATATATATATATATGGCTTGTAACTGCTAGCTTTATGACATTTCTTAGATGATAACCACTGGTAAAATTGTGTCAGCCATAATAATTTATATTTTGTTCCAAATTGTTTCAGTAACTCACTTTCTTAATAACTGTCTTTTTGCAGTGAATCTTATGAATTTAGTAGTAGCTTTAGTCATTGAATGCATGATGTTGTTTTTGACAAATAGGAACATTATTTCATTATATGAAATCTTACCTTCAAATAAGGATTTCCTGCATCATTTGTCAATAAAAACCATTTACAAACTCCTCTGTCTGGCTGTACTATCGATCTGATTCCTAAACTGCAGCTAATATGAACATTAATCTGCAAATGACCATAATATAAAAGTATTTCTGACAAACCACTAAAGGTTCTGTCCACAGTTACTTATCAGTGTCATGTAAACAAACACCTACTTGTAGCTGAATGGATTTGTTGTAAAGAAAATTCAAGTCACTCAATCAGATATGAATTTGGGAGGCTCCTTATCATTCCAATGAACTAATATTTCTTGTGAAGGTGATGAAAAATGAGAGGGCTAAAATGCTCACGAGGATGATAGGATTTTTATAAGCCTCCTTTCTTCTCCATGAGTTCTTGATAGACTAGTGGAAATACTGACTATGATAAACTAGTTTAAGAAGCCAGTGGTTTTACCTGGAGTGTTAAGTGAGAAAAGTATATTTCCCTCACTAGTTTGAAAGATTTACCTTCACTTCAGGAGAATAGCAAATGTGTCCACAGATATCTTCAGGTTTTTGACATTTCACTCCCTTGCAGAGCCCACCACTGTGGTCCTTCATTAACTTCTGTGTTTTAGGGCATGAATGCCATGTTTTCCGTAAGACATCGTATCCAAGAATGATGCCATTTGGCTTTCCTGGAGACACCCAGTCAATTTGAAGGGATCTGCAGCAGAGAATAATCAATACTTCTGAAGAGACAACATTTAACATTGCTGCTATCAGCCTACCTACTTTTCAATTAATCTTCCAGATTGGTCATAAGGTTTGTTTCATCAACAACTTCCTAATTAAAAAGTGGCAGCAAAATGATAGTTTCTAGCTAGAATAATTTTTTTACGTTGAGGAAACACATTTTTCTCCCTTACTGGGAAAACCTTAAACACACACACACATACACGCATCAAGTAGTAGCTTATATGCATACATAAAATATATAAATATTTTATGTATATATAACACACACACACACACACACACATATATATATATATACATTTTATATTTTATGTGTATATATAATGTTGTTGTTGTTATGTGCCGTGGAGTCAGACCTGACTCATAGTGATGCCTCCTTGGGTTTCCGAGGCAGTATATGGAAGTAGATTGCCCCATCTTCCTTCCAAGGAGTGGCTGGTGGGTTTGAACCGCCAGCCTCCTGGTTAGCAGTCAAGTGCTTTAGGCACTATGCTACCAGAGCTCCTGTATATATAATAGTTACATATATATGCATATAAGCTACTACTTTCAATATGCTATTTTATATTTTTATATGCTACTAGTACATAATCTGTTTTAAGCATCAATCAAAACTATTTAATTTTTAAGAGAACAGCACATAATATGAGTCCAGTATACCACCCTAAGTTTCTGGGGTAAGAAGGAAGTATCATGTTTTGTCAGGGAAATCAAGAGAGAATTTTAGTTTGATAAGCAAAGAAACAAATAATATGACTTAGTAAACAGAGTGGACATTAAAATATGTAGTAGACCTCATCCCTATTTCTAACCACTTTTCCTTTTTCTCCCCTCAACTAGGACTAGTGATGTGACTGACACATAGCTGCTCAAAGAGATGTAATTTGAAGACTGCTATGGGGCTCCTGCGAAGGTACGTAGAAAATTTTGTCCTTTCAGCACAGCTGCTTCCTTCTCTTCTCCTTTTTCTTTTTGCTAAACATGATATCTGAAACTTCAGCAATCACCTTTCATCCATTTGAGAAAGACCATGAGAATCACAAAGATAGCATCGTTCTATTTGGTATTGCTGCACCAATGCTAGCAACTATCTACTTCTAGAACTGCTTAATTAAGCCTCTGTGGTTGAGTGTTTTGTTACTTAAAGCCAAAATAAATTCCCAAGTTGAAAATATCTTTAGTACTATTAATTCCTCTAACTACATTTTACATTGATATATCTTAATTTATTAAAATAATATTTTATTCTGTTTAAGGTGAAAGTTTACCTAGTAAATTATGTTTCCACTTAACAATTTCTACAATTATTCAGTGATATTATATTTTCCACAGTGCATTATCATTCTTATGCATTGTTCTGATAGTACCATTTCTAGTACTCTAGTTTCCCTGACCCCTTACCTTCTCATCTTTGCTTTACAGTAATTTTTGACCATTTGGTTCATATAGATGGTTTTTTAAAGAAAATCATTATTCACGAGTAGTATTCTTTATTTTATGAGCCATTCTGTTATTTCTAAAAGATGACCTCAATGGATAATTTCAGTTTAAGGTTTAAAGAGTTATATCAGGGTATTAGTCTCAGGAGTCCTCTGTTCTCAAATGGCCCGGTAAGTGTAGACTTTTTAAGAATTATTTCCATATTTTTATCCTTTTCTATTGGGATCTATTTGTTGTTGTCCTCATCAGGACAGTCGATAGTAGTAGCCAAGTACCATCCAATGTCAGGGTAGATGAGGCTGTGGTTCATGTAAACGGTTAGTCCTGTAGACTACTTTCTAGTCTAGGTCTTAGGCTCCTTTCTTTCTCTCTAGCTCCAGTTGAGTAGAGACCAATAGTTGGCTACTGGATGGCTGCTCACAACTTTTAATACCCTACACACTACTCACCACATGTAGAAATACATTTTATAAAATATATTATGCCAATTAACTGAGCTGTCTCACGAAACTATGTTCCTATGCCTTCAAACCCTGAAAACAAATCTTTCAAAGTGTTATATTTCAGAAGTATTAGGGGAGCTCTGGTGGAATAGTACCTAAGGCATTTGACTGCTAACCAGAAGGCTAGTGGTTCAAATCTACCAGCCACTCCTTGGAAGGAAGGTTGGGCAATCTACTTCTGTAGTGATACTGCTTTAGAAATGCAAGGAAAGTTCATTATGAGTGGGATCTGACTCGATGACAGTGAGTTTGGTTTTGGTAAGAAGTACTTGAAGCTGTGTTCCCTGTGTGGTTTATTATATGTATAGATACACATGCATATGGGAGCTCTGGTGGCTTAGTGCTAAAGGCATTTGACTACTAACCATAAGCCTGGCGGTTCAAACCCACCAGCCTCTCCTCAGAAGGAAGGTTGGGCAATCTACTTCCGTAGTGATATCACCTCAGAAACCCAAGGAGGGGTCGCTATGAGTCAGACCCGACTCGATGGCACTGAGTTTTTAGTTTACGTGCATATACACTCATATCTCTATGTACATATTTCTATAGATAGATCTAGCTGGGTACAGGTATGTACCCACATACTTATACCCATACACATATGTCTATATACATATTTGTGTAACCACACACATATTTATTGATTGTTGTTGGTGTTGTTGCAAAATGATACTTGTCGTATCTTTTACTAAAAATATTCTTTTCTCTTGTGCACATCTTAGTGACATCATCCACCTTGGTCAAGCTTTGTGCAGTTCACCCAGTTTCAATGCTACCTTTCCCTTGACCAAAAGTAACAAGTACTTACTATCTTGAGAGTACTTCCTCCTGTCTCCTCTCATTGTGGTACCCATCAATGAGTGTTAGCCTTTGTATATGTATAAATTTATCGTTTTATAAAAGTGCAACCATACAATATTTGTTCTTTTGTAATTGATTTACTTCACTCAGCATAATGTCCTTCAGACTCATCCATATTATATTTTGAGGACTCATCATTGTTCTTTATGGCTGCATAGTATTCCATTGTATGTATGTACAACATTTCATTTATACATTCACTCATCTATGGGCACTTAGGTTCTTTCTATCTTTTTGCTATTACAAAAAATGCTTCAATGAACATAGGTGTGAATCTGTCTGCCCATATTTATTTTATCAGATCTCTAGGGTATATACCTAGGAATAGGATTGGTGGATTATAGCTTATTTGTATTTTTACCTTTTTGAGGAAGTGACATATCCTTTTCCATAGTGGTTATACTCTTTTATAATCCCACAGGCAGTGGATAAGTGTTCTAATCTCCCCAAATCCTTGCCAGGATTTGTATGTTATTTTATTTATTTATTTATTTTTTTGAAATTGTATTTTGTTATTGTTTTTGAGAATATACATAGCAAAACAGAAAAATTCAACAGTTACATTGATTACATCTTATGCAACCATCTTCAAGTTATGCAACTATCTTCACCCTCTTTTTCTGAGTCATCCCTTCCCCTTTAGCATAAACTCAGTACCTCCTAAGATTCCTATGTAGTCTCATCAGTCGCTGTTGCCAAATTTTATCCCACATAGATAATTCTTAAAATAATATAATGCTTAAGGCAGACAGTTTTACAAGTTAAGATAAATTACTGTTAATTTAAAATAAAAAAGTAAAGGGGAATTTTAGTTTAAAATTTAAAGATTATCTCAGGGCAATAGTTTCACAAATTCATCTATCCTTCATGGCTCCAGAAAGTCTGGTGTCCATTATAATTTGAAATTCTGTTCTGCATCTTCCCCCTTTTGATCAAGATTCTTCTATAGAATCTTTGATCAAAATATTCAGTAATGGTAGTTAGGCACCATCTAGTTCTTCCAGTCTCATGGCAAAGGAAACAGTTATTCATGGAGTCAATTAGCCAACCATTCCTTTTCCTCCTCCTATCACTGACTCTCCTTCTTTTCCTGTTGCTCCAGGTGAATAGAAACCAATTGCTGTGGCTTGAATGGCCACTTGCAAGCTTTTGTGATGTGGTATATTGGATGTGGCTATATTCCCATTCCCCTACCCATACCTGATCCTGCCTGTCTACCTACATGTACATCCACAGATTACTGCTTGCTATTACTGATAATATTAGTAATATTGCATTGCTATTACTGGTAATAGCAAGCACTAATCTATGGATGGATACGTAGGTAGACGGGGAAGATAAGGTATGGGTAGGTGAATGGGAATATACCCACATCCAATATACCACATCACAAAAGTGCCTAAGGCACTTGACTGCCTACCAGAAGGCTGGCAGTTCAAACCCCCCCAACCACTCCTCGGAAGAAAGGTTGGGCAATCTACTTCCATAGTGATACTGCCCCAGAAACCCAAGGAGGGGTCGCTATGAGTCAGGTCCAACTTGACAGCACATAACAACAACAACAACAAAAACATTATTGATAATAGCAGCTCTTTTGGTGTAATTGCTAAGCCATTTGATTGCTAACCAGACAGCTGGCAGTTCAAACCCACCGGCCACTCCTCAGAAGGAAGATTGGGCAACCTTCCTCTATAGTAATACTGCCTCGGAAACCCAAGGAGAGGTTGCTGTGAGTCAGATCCGACTCAATGGCAGTGAGTTTGTTTTTTGTTTTGGTATTACTGATAATACAGTATTGCATATGTCATAGTATTTACCTTTATTGTCTATACGTCTTGTGCACTTCTCTGTGCCTTCCTTTTCCTCAGTGATATTGTGCTGCTCACATGCTTTTATTATATTGCCTTTCTTGTCATCCAAATAAAGACCTGTCTCTTAACTAGCAAGAAAATTTCCCTTCTCTCACCTCCCATGTCTGCTAACCAACAAAGATACTTTTCTCCCTTGTATAAACTTTTCCTTGAATTTTCATAATAACAGACTCTTATTTGTCATTCTGTGATTGACTTATTTCACTCAGCATGATATCCACTAAATTCATCCACATTATGAGGTCATTTGCAGATTCTTCATTATTCTTTAATGATGGATAGTATTCCATTGT